TTTCAGGCAAAAGTTCCTTTACACAAAGGAAACTATCGACCAAGTTCAAAGACTGTCCAACACACCAAAAGCAATGTTCTAAGCGCACTGTAAAGCAACTAAAAACATGTTCTGCTGCTAAAAAGAGACTGGAACAAATGCAAGCCACAAATATACTGATAATCTTTTGGTTCCAAACCGTTAGTTTTCCTCTTGCCTCATAAATCCATTATAATACAATTTCTATTCCAGAATACAAACCCCATAAAATAAGCACTCAGCCTCAGAAGAAGTATCAGGCATTGATTAATGCAGCCAGGCAAGAGGTTTAGTGGGGTTTCAAGATGGGTTTTGGGGTTGCCACGCTGCAAAGTGTCAACCTACAAATTCATGCTGCCAGCTCCAGGGAAGGCACAAGCACCCAGCTCTCCTCCACAGAGCGGAGAGGCACCTTACAGCTCAAAAATGTGGATTTTTATAGTCCTGACAGTGCAGCACAAAGAACCACCAGCAGCTGAGATACAAAGGGCTTCGTATCTTACTGCTGACCTCCACCTCCTACATCAAAACAAGCACATGATAAAAAAAAAAACCAACCACCAAATCCACTAAGAAAATAGCCTTTTGTTATCATCTGGTGCCAAGCGTCAGCTACTATACTCCAAGATTTCTCAGGAATCCTGACCCACTCTAAGTTCAGAGGGCAGGTAACACTTCCCTGGCATTCACCTCTCATTTTGCAGAAGCTCCACCTGCAGAGGGTTTTCACAAGGTGCTAACGATTGTCTCTTCTTCCACCTTACAAAGCACCTCACAGAGAGCTTACCAAAGAAAATACAGGGTCTTGGATAGTTCTTTCAGTCCAAGCTTAAAGGCAGCTGAAATAGATGGGGTTTTTTTTAAGCTGCTCATTTAAAATTTTAAAATTTGTGTGCTGTATTTCCAGGCTACAGTCAGTAAAATATCTGTAATATCAACAGAGCAGAAGTTATTGTCATATCTTCACTTAGGGATGGTTCTAGTGAACAAAACGTTTTTAAATACAAGAAAATCATAGAATCATAGAATGGTTAGGGTTGGAAGGGACCTCAAAGATCATTGAGTTCCAACCCCCCTGCCCTGGGCAGGGACACCTCCCACCAGCCCAGGTTGCTCCAAGCCCCCTCCAACCTGGCCTTGAACCCCTCCAGGGATGGGGCAGCCACAGCTTCTCTGGGCAACCTGTTCCAGTGTCTCACCACCCTCATAGTAAAAAATTTCTTCCCGAGATCTAATCTGAATCTTTTTTCTTCCAATTTAAAACCATTTCCCCTTGTCCTATCATTACACTTCCTGGCATAAAAAAGGTATTTTACTTAATAGACTGCTGCAATTATTAGTTGCAAATGCATACATGTTTAAAAAACAAACAAAAACGCCATCCAGTGTCTGGGAGTGCAGTATTTTACCCTTCCTTAACAGACAATGCTCCACAGACACCCCAGATAGCCATAGAAATACACGTTTGATGTTGCTTCTCTCCACATACCACCAGATTTCACAGAAGTCCCATTTTGATTTTAAAAAAGACAGGACAGATGTCAGCCGAGGTGATGAGTGTGCCCAATAATACAGTCAGAATTGAAACTGGGGAGCACGTCAGAATGAAGATGACTACCTGGGGAGTGAAAGCATTCTAAGAAAACACTGCCTGGGAGAACTAAATACAGGCAAACTTGACAACATAACCATCAAAAAGCAAGGGGAAAAGCAAATACCAGGTAAGGTAAGAGCTAAACGGGACAAAAATCACAGGCCAAGGAACAGGAGAGAGTCACTCCACAAGTCCACAGATTTAACAGACTCACCCAGGACTTTGAAAACTAAACTGAGCACCCCTATAGAAAAATGGCTGTAAAACACCCCTCTTCAACTGGGAGGGCCGGCAAGGGCTGGATAATCTAAGAAAATTCAAAGAGAAGACCCACTATAAAATATCACTCATTGTTATGTCCACAGAAGAGCAGAAGCAGCCCAACTCCAAGTTACTCACTTATCTGGAAGCCTACACTAATCATTTTCATCCTCTCGCGCTGTCTTTGCTAGTTCTACAATGCTAATTAAATAAGTCCCAGAGGTCACAAGGTAAGGATAAAATTCTCAGTAATTAATCTGCTCAAATTGTAACTCAGTCTGATATTCCTGACGTTACGAACGAATCCTGTGATTAGCTTAAAATTTCTCAAGACGCGGGGTGAAAAGCAGTATTTTCAGCCAGTGCCGAGCTACAGCCAACGTTTCCCGGTCGTGAAGACACCACAATAGCTGAAGAACTGTCAGCAGGTTCGGTGTTGTAGCTGTGAGATAGAGAGCCTTCCCTCAAGCATGGCACAAATGTGAAAAAAAAAAAAAAAGAACAACAAAACAGGCAAGAACAACGAAGATAAAAGCTTTCGACCTTTGCTCTGAACTGAAAAACGTGAATCAGCAGAAGCAGGCAGCAGTTTCTGCACTCTTTAACGTGCACCTCACAGTATTTACGTCAGTTGGGGTTATTAAACCTCATGTTCGTGGGATCAGAGAGCGAGATTCTCTTCCCTTACTCGTGGAATTTGCTTGCGTGGGATCTGGTTTGCCACCACCAGCTGCCTCCCACCCTATGGCAAGCCAGCATCGTAGCTAGATACCCTCTGGATCCAAAATTACATGCACCTTGTCAAACTGGAATAATCTGGGAATAACAGCTACACCTGGGCCTTCAAAAGATGAGGTGGAATCCTTGGGATCTGACCTTGCTGGAAAGAATGGGAGAAAGGCAAGAGAACTTACACAGGGAAGACAGGCAAGGAAACGTGCAAGTGAAGGAGGACTCAGAGCAGAAGACACTGAGACAGACCCTTCAAACACCAGAAGTTTATCTTGGTCTTGTGAACGAGCGGACTCGCTAATAAGAAAAGACTTGAGCTCTCTCCTTAATCAGCTTTCTGAGGACTAGAAAACATCCCTGTCGTTAGCCTCCTCGGGCCCGTGAGTTTATTTCTCCCCTGCCCAGCACCTGCTTCTCGCTGCTAACCTCTGGGAATCTCTCCTTCCACACAGCAGAAGCCGTCTGGGCGCAGCGCGTGCTGTCATTTGCAACATCTGCTCCTCAGGCTTAAGGAGGCTTGAATCAGCTTCCAAAATGGACAAAGCACAGGGTCAAGAAATTAAACCTTTAAGCTGCTGACGAGGGCAGCCTCCTGCTCCCGTTACCGGGAGCAATCCTGCCTCACCTGCGGCTCTGCTGGCTCGCTCCCCTCGGCACCGTCACAAGAGGGACGGCAGCAGTTTCCTCACCCCTTGGATGACCTGCATCTTCTCCTTCCAGTAACCATGTGGCAGATGCACCAAGCACCAGGACAGCGTCTATGGCTCAGCTGCTCACTCTGCTCCTTAACGTTTTCCCTTGTCCCTGAAGGAACGCGCTTGGAAAGCAAGTTCTCAGGGATGGAGGGCGAGCACGGCTTGTCTGCTCCAGGGAAACCCTGGGAGACATTCCCTGCCAAAGGAAGAGGGAGAAGAGCTGAGGTACCTGCTCTTCTTCCATCTCTGTTCCCCAAGGTTCCCTCTCCTTCAGCAAAGCACAAATCCAAAGGGAAGGGTGGCAGAGGGAGTGTGTCACCACCTCACTTCCAAGGTGAAGGGAGTGAAGCAAATACCTGTCTACTGGAAGGGTATGAAGCAAGGACTATGTGTGTATCCGAGATGCCTGTTGCATTCCTTCCAACAGAAAGGAGGAGAAGTCCCATTTCATGCCCCCTTCCAGCAGACCAGTGACAGGGAAGGAAAGATGAAGCACAACATCATCATCTTCCCAGTGGAGAGGACAAGTGTAGCAGAGGGGAAGCCAGGTATCAGCCCTCTCTTCCATCCTTCCTCACCAAAGATGAGGGAACAGAAGCGTGTGTGTGGCGGGGAGGTGGTGGACAAAGAATTGCTGTTTCTACCCTGCTCCTGAATGAAAGGTGTGCATCTTGGGGGAAGGGGAAGTTTAAGGCAAATATCCACTCTCACTCATCCTTTGTTTAGGAAAAGGAAAGCATAAGCAAGAAGGTTCTCTGTCACCTCCCCTCCTGCTTTCTTCTGCATGTGTCAGGAAATGAGAAAATGCCCAGATCCCCCTTTCCTCCAGGTGTATGGGCACTGGGGAGGGGGGCGAGAGGGAAAGATGCCCAGTTCTCTTTGCAGCTGGAAGTGGCTGAAGAGGTGCCCAGTTCACCCTTTTCCCATGTCTAAGACACCCCAAATACAGACCACAGCCCTGTGTGTGTGAGACACCCCCAAACACAGACTACAGCTAGCCCTTCTTTGCTCAGGTGTGTGACAGATGGGCACTCAGGGTCCCCTCTCCCTGGAGAACAATTTGTCCTGTATCCCTCACCCTCAAGTGCATGTGTGTAAGCAAGTGATGTCCAGCCCTCTGGACACCCGGGTTTGCGTGATGGGGAGTGCTCAGACCCCCACTTACCTATGGGGGTGCACTGGAGGGGCAGGAAGGTCTACCTGGTGTCCCCACGAGAGGGGGGGACGGGACACTGAGTGCAGTGTCTCTGTGTGCACAGGGAATGCCCAGCATCCCTTCTTGGGGACAGTGGGAGGCAAGAGGCAGCCCAGATGCCCCCCATGGTCTTAGAATCATGGAATCGTTTAGATTGGAAGGGACCTTAAAGATCATCTAGTCCAACTGACAAAAAAAATAAATAAGAAATAAGCGACAAAAAAAATAACTAAACCATATTCTTGAGGACCATGTCAACATTCAGTGACAAAAAAACTAAATAAGAAATAAGCGACAAAAAAAAAATCACTAAACCATATTCTTGAGGTCTTGGTGTGAGAACATCGGGATCCCCCATATGTCCTGGCAGGAGGGGAAGCGGGGATCCCCGC